GGTCTAATTTGAATTTGCGCGTCGCCCTCACTTTGCTGGGCCCCCCAGCAGGCCTCGAAAATGGCGACAGTTTCACAGATCGCAGCCCCCCCAGGGATGACGAGGTCTAATTTGAATCTGCGCGTCGCCCTCACTGTGCTGGGCCCCCCAGCAGGCCTCGAAAATGGCGACAGTTTCACAGATCGCAGCCCCCCAGGGATGGCGAGGTCTAATTTGAATCCGCGCGTCGCCCTCACTGTGCTGGGCCCCCCAGCAGGCCTCGAAAATGGCGACAGTTTCGCAGATCGCAGCCCCCCAGGGATGGCGAGGTCTAATTTGAATCTGCGCGTGGCCCTCACTGTGCTGGGCCCCCCAGCAGGCCTCGAAAGTGGCGACAGTTTCACAGATCGCAGCCCCCCAGGGATGGCGAGGTCTAATTTGGGTCTGCGTGTGGCCTCACTGTGCTGGGCCCCCCAGCAGGCCTCGAAAGTGGCGACAGTTTCACAGATCGCAGCCCCCCCAGGGATGGCGAGGTCTAAATTGAATCTGCGTGTGGCGTCACTGTGCTGGGCCCCCCAGCAGGCCTCGAAAGTGGCGACAGTTTCACAGATCGCAGCCCCCCAGGGATGGCGAGGTCTAATTTGGGTCCGCGCGTGGCCCTCACTGTGCTGGGCCCCCCAGCAGGCCTCGAAAATGGCGACAGTTTCACAGATCGCAGCCCCCCAGGGATGGCGAGGTCAATTTGTCCCCGCGCGTGGCCCTCACTGTGCTGGGCCCCCCAGCAGGCCTCGAAAATGGCGACAGTTTCACAGATCGCAGCCCCCCGCAGGCAAGACAGGAAGAGGCAGGGAGGGAGGAGGAGGAAGGAAGGAAGGAGTGGAGACCACACTGCTCTATTCAAAACGAATACCCAACCAAGGAGGGTTGGGAATTACCCTGGCGACGTACCCAACCCCTGCGCAAACGCGGGGCGCAAATAGTTTAGGACACTTTATAAGGGGGGCGATGACGGAGCAAGGGTTACATATGTCTGCAGACGGAATTCGGGAGACTCGCAGGACACTGGCTACAGGACAAGGACTAGATAAAGCTGATTAGTTACAATCCCTGAGCAAAAAAAAACCCCCCCCCCCCTAGCTCACTTCGAAACGGGGATCTCAGATCGCCGCCCCCCAGGGTTGGCGAGGTCAAATTTGATCTGCGCGTCGCCCTCACTGGTTGCTGGGCCCCCAGCAGGCCTCGAAAGTGGGCGACAGTTCCACAGTCGCAGCCCACCAGTGATGGCGAAGGTCTAATCGAGGTCCCGCGCCGTGGCGTCACTGTGCTGGGCCCCCCGCAGGCCTCGAAAGTGGCGACATGTCCAGACCGCAGGCCCCCCCCCCCCCCCCCCCCCCCCATGGACGGCGAGGTTTAGTTGGAGTCATGCCCTGGGCGTCACTGTTGCGCTCCAGGCCCCCAGCAGGCTCGAAGTTCTCGTGGCGACAGTATCACAGATCGCAGCCCCCCAGGGATGGCGAGGTCTAATTTGAATCCGCGGTGAGTACCCACTGTGCTGGGCCCCCCAGCAGGCCTCGAAAGTGGCGACAGTTTCACAGATCGCAGCCCCCCAGGGATGGCGAGGTGTAATTTGAGTCTGCCCGTGGCGTCACTGTGCTGGGCCCCCCAGCAGGCCTCGAAAGTGGCGACAGTTTCACAGATCGCAGCCCCCCAGGGATGGCGAGGTCAAATTTGAATCTGCGTGTGGGTACCCACTGTGCTGGGCCCCCCAGCAGGCCTCGAAAGTGGCGACAGTTTCACAGATCGCAGCCCCCCAGGGATGGCGATGTCTAATTTGAATCTGCGTGTGGCGTCACTGTGCTGGGCCCCCCAGCAGGCCTCGAAAGTGGCGACAGTTTCACAGATCGCAGCCCCCCAGGGATGGCGAGGTCTAATTTGAATCTGCGCGTCGCCCTCACTGTGCTGGGCCCCCCAGCAGGCCTCGAAAATGGCGACTGTTTCACAGATCGCAGCCCCCCAGGGATGGCGAGGTCTAATTTGAATCCGCGCGTGGCCCTCACTGTGCTGGCCCCCCAGCAGGCCTCGAAAGTGGCGACAGTTTCACAGATCGCAGCCCCCCAGGGATGGCGAGGTCTAATTTGGGTCCGCCCGTCGCCCTCACTGTGCAAGGCCCCCCAGCAGGCCTCGAAAGTGGCGACAGTTTCACAGATCGCAGCACCCCCAGAGATGGCGAGGTCTAATTTGAATCCGCGCGTGGCCCTCACTGTGCTGGGCCCCCCAGCAGGCCTCGAAAATGGCGGCAGTTTCACAGATCGCAGCCCCCCCATCCCCCCAGGGATGGCGAGGTCTAATTTGAATCCGCGCGAGGCCCTCACTGCTCCGGGCCCCCCAGCAGGCCTCGAAAGTGGCGACAGTTTCACAGATCGCAGCCCCCCCAGAGATGGCGAGGTCTAATTTGAATCCGCGCGTGGCCCTGACTGTGCTGGGCCCCCCAGCAGGCCTCGAAAATGGCGACAGTTCCACAGATCGCAGCCCCCCAGGGATGGCGAGGTCTAATTTGAATCCGCGCGCGGCCCTCACTGTGCTGGGCCCCCCAGCAGGCCTCGAAAATGGCGACAGTTTCACAGATCGCAGCCCCCCGCAGGCAAGACAGGAGGAGGCAGGGAGGGAGGAGGAGGAGGAAGGAAGGAAGGAGTGGAGACCACACTGCTCTATTCAAAACGAATACCCAACCAAGGAGGGTTGGGAATTACCCTGGCGACGTACCCAACCCCTGCGCAAACGCGGGGCGCAAATAGTTTAGGACACTTTATAAGGGGGCGATGACGGAGCGAGGGTTACATATGTCTGCAGACGGAATTCGGGAGACTCGCAGGACACTGGCTACAGGACAAGGACTAGAGGGTTGGAGGGTTGGGAAAAAGAGCACGACCGAACCTGGGAACCGGCGGTAAACCGTCAACCAAGTTACCGCCGGGCACCTCGTAGAGCTCTCTTCTTGCACAGCGCTTCTCGGAACACATGAAAATAAGCTTCTGAAGCAAGAGCTGGAAAACTCGAGCAATCACGATTTGTTGGTTTTCATCTAAAGTCGGTTTCTCCAAGCGATTGGATAGTAAAATTGCACCTACGAACCTGATAATTCGACTGATACACGCAGCATAACCCACTCCCCTCCCTTCCTTCCTGCCTGCTCACCGCAAAAGCTTATCATGACTCAGAAAAACGCATTTTTTGGCGGTCGATAGAAAGTCGGTTCCTCCAAGTGTTTTGATAGTAATACTGCCCCTAGAGCAATGAAAAAATTACCAGCAGCTGCGCCATAGCTTACTGCAGGGAATGAAAATCTCACTTCTCAAAATGAATTTCAAAATTTTGCACAAAGATTGCAAAACCGACCCAAAGTTACCACATTGTCTCTTAAGGTCGGGTCGGCCAACTAGCTCCACCCTGCGCCCGAATTCCTCTTAGCTCTTTGCCGAAGAGCTCTACGAGGTATGTTCCACCGGCGCAGTCCGCATGCGGCTTCTGAGCGCAGTACAACGCTTATTGGCCCCATAGGGGGCTCAATCGAAGGACCCAGTGGCGGAGCTGGCATGCGCGATTCCCCCGCCCAGTGCAGCGTTTCGTGGCCCCAGAGGGAGCTCCACCGAAGGTCCCAGTGGCGCAGTCAGCATGCGGTTCCTGCGCCCAGTGCAGCGTTCCTTGGCCCCAGAGGGACGTGTTTCAAAGACCTGTTCATATATTTATGATATTTGAACTCGATGTTAAACTGAATGCGTTTCACGTGAGGCCCCGATCACCAATAGGAGGGCAAGGAGTGGGGAGGAGGTCTGAAGAGTGCAGGAGCTTGGGGATGATAGCGTCGGACTCTGGAGGAGGGCGGAGGAGCGGAGTACAACTGTATAGAGCTGGTCATAGAACTGGTCATAGAACTAGTCTATTCAAAATAGGGTCAGGCATAGAACTGGTCGTTTCAAATAGCGAAATTGACAACATCGAATGACTTCCTTTTAGAATTTCGACCAGTTCCATGCCGGACACTATCTTTAACTGACCAGTTCTATGACCAGTTCTATGACCACTTGTGCCAGTTCCACAACAAAGCAAACCGATATCAACGAAACAGCGAAACTCTTCTTACCCAGACGTTGCCCGGACAAAAAGTGTCCACGCCGACGGCGTGAAGACAATCAGGCATGATGGCAACGACAATTGCAATATACACGTGGCTCGCCACCCCTCACCCCCAAACCCAAAGCTGTGGTGTCCATACTTTGTCCCCCGCAAGTTGCCTCGCATCCAACCCCGTCAATTTTGGGTTGGGGGGGACGGAGGCTATGGATATTTGTTCGTCGCAGTTCGATGTCATATCATCTTGGCTCGATGGGTGTGGGCACTTTTTGTCCGCACACCAGAGCTCCAACGAAGGTCCCAGTGGCGCAGTTCGCATGCGGTTCCTGCGCCCAGTGCAGCGTTTCGTGGCCACAGAGGGAGCTCCATCGAAGGTCCCAGTGGCGCAGTCCGCATGCGGTTCCCCCACCCAGTACAGCGCGCGTTTCGTGGCCCCAGAGGTCTCAGTGGCGGAACTCGCATGCGATTCCCCCGCCCAGTACAGCGCATTTCGTGGCCCCAGAGGGAGCTCCACCGAAAGACAATACCCACAACTGCGCTACTCACAACTGCATATGGTTGGTTTCTTCGCCGGGCGAATCTTACGATGATCGGAATCCGATCATCGGATGCTCCTCCTGTAGAGGGACATGCTTAAGTCGGGCCTGTCCTCCTACAGGAGGACTTTAGAGGAAAAATAAAAAATTGGCCAAAAATGGTACCACATGGTCAAAAAATACACTCAAAAAGTCGTCCCCGGAGTATTTTTGGACTAATTCTGAATACATTCCTCCTGTAGAGGGACACGCCCGACTGAACGCTACTCACGACTGGATGCTCCTCCCGTCGAGGGACATGCCCGACTTGGCCCCCGCAGAGCAAGCGATGGGCGCGAGCGGCACCGGGCCCGCCTTCTCGTCCACGCTCCAGCGCTTGCCCTCCCTCGTCCTCACCGCGAGGGTCTGGTCCATGAGGATCCACTTGCCGCCACCCTGGCAGGAGAGCCCAGGAGCGAATCGAGGAGTCGGGTCGGCGATCGAAACGAATCGGATCGGCAGAAATCAGCGGCCGAGCCGGGAGAAGTCGAATGGGCAGGCGAGTAGGCCTCCATGGGGGAATCGGCATCCAAGTCGGAATCCGAAGTCGAATCGAATCGGAATCGGAGGCCATCGAGATCAAGATCGAGTCGAATCGGAGGAGTCGGAACGAGCCCTGCCCTGGCGTCCCCCGTTCTCCAGGAGCGAGGATCCGAGGATCGGGTGGTCCGCCGGCGGTCTCTCCGCCCCTCCCGTCGCCGCGGCGGGGCTCCCCTCGAGAGCTCTCGTCGAGACGCACGCCTGGAGAGGTCTGGGAGCCGAGTCTTACCGCCAGAACCAGAGATCCTCGCGCCTGGAGGAAAAAAATATACTCCAGATTTCGTAATAAAAGGGAGGGGGTCTGGACCCTCCAGGACAAGCCATTTCAGACCTCCCCCGTGGGAGAACCCTCCAAAACATCGTCCCAAGACCCCCCAGGCCCTCCAAGATAGCCTGGAAGAGACCCCCCCCCAAAATGAGACCCCCCTCCCTTTATTACGAAGTCTGGAGTAAGAGAAGGCACAAAAACTTGAAACAACAAAAAAGCAAGCTGGAGATCTTCGGCCGTCTTCGGCCTCGGGGGGGGGGACACTCCGGATCCCGAGCTCGTCCGAAGACGCTCGGGATGAAAAGCTGGTCCCAGGGAAGGGGTCGAAACCTCTCCGAGGTCCACGCTGCGAAAAAAACACGGCGTCGGGACTCCTCCTCCTCCTCCTCCTCCTCCCTCCTCCTCCTCCTCCTCCTGATCTTCCTCCTCTCCTCCTGACTTCCTCCTCCTCCTCCTCATCCTCCCTCCTCCTCTGATCTTCTCCTCCTCCTCCTCCTCCTCCTCCTCCTCCTCCTGATCTTCCTCCTCCTCCTCCTCCTGATCTTCCTCCTCCTCCTCCTCCTCCTCCTCCTGATCTTCTTCCTCCTCCTCCTGATCTTCCTCCTCCTCCTCCTCCTCCTCCTCCTCCTCCTCCTCCAACGCCGCGATTCTTGCCCAGCGTCCCGCAGAACGCGCGGCAACTCGCGCGCAGCGGACTCTCGCCCGCTTCCCCTGCCCGACCCGGGCACCGGGCCCACGGTGCTGAGGGTCTCCTCGGGCATGAAGTAATTGGACGCCTTGACGCCGACGCAGACGTATTTCTCGGCGCCGGGAGAGGGGGAGGGGGAGGAGAGGGGAGCTCGAGGGGGAGAAGAAGGCAGAACATGAGGGAAGGGATGAACGCTGCGTGCACTAGCAGGAAGTCCGAGCCGCGTCAAAAAAAGGGGGGAAGGGAGAGGATGGGAAGGGGAGGAGAGAGGGACGGGGAGGGATTCGGGAGGGGAAAGGGGACGGAAGGGAGGGATGAGGAGAGGGGCAGGAGGGAGAGGGGCAGCAGGGGAGAGGAGGGATGAGGAGAGGGGCAGGAAGGGGAGAGGAGGGGAGAGGAGAAGTGAGAGGGGGAGAGGGGAGAGGGGCAAGCTGCGTGCTCTCGCGCCGCACGTGACGCCCTACCCCTCCCAGCCGCCACTTCCCAGTGGCGCGTACCCCGTCTGCGTGTCGGGCGGGGCCCCGACCCTTGGGATTCTGGGGCTCCGGGTCGGCCTCGCGCGCGCGCCCGCGGGGAGGCACGAGGCCCAGGCAGAGGAGGAGACAGAGACCAAGCAGCCAGGCCACGGCGACGGCTACCGGTGGAGGCCAAACCACGAGAAGCCTTCCACGAGAAACCTTCCACGAGAGCCCAGGACGGACGTCCGTCGCTTCTTGGTGTGGGAGGGTCGCGCCGTCCGTCGCAAAACCACCGAAGCCCTGGAGAAGCCCGGAGCACCCTGGAGACAAGCAGGGCGCGTCTTGGCATGGGCTTCCCCTGTACACTTCGGTCGGGCATGTCCGCCTACAGGCGGATTTTGAACGAGAAAAGATCAAATAAAAAGTCATCTAAAAAACGACAATTGTCAAAAATAATCGACAAATCGTCCCGGAACGATTTGTCCTCAACCATCCTGTGGTGTTGGGTCCTCGTTTTGAAGAGACGGTCCCCGCGTTCCTTCCTCTTTCCTTCCCTCCCTCCTTCCTTCCTCCTCCCCTCCTCCCTACTCCCATCCCTGCCTCTGCCCTGCGCATGCCCTCAGCGCTTCGTGACCACATAGGGAGCTCCACCTAAGGTCTCAGTGGCAGTGTCCACATGCGTCTCCCCCACCCAGTACGGCGCTTCGTGGCTCCATAGGGAGCTCCACCTAAGGCCCCAGTGGCGGTGTCCACATGCGTCTCCCCCATCCAGCACAGCGTTTCGTGGCTCCAAAGGGAGCTACACCTAAGGTCGCAGTGGCGGTGTCCACAGGCGTCTCCCCCACCCAGTACAGCGCCTCGTGGCCCCATAGGGAGCTCCACCGAAGGCGACACCCACAACTGCGGCACTCACGAGTGCATGTGGTTGGGTCATTCGCCAGGCCAATTGCTATCCTTGGATTTTCCTCCTGTACGGGGACACGCTCGACTTGACTGTGCACGGCGAGTGCCGCTCGCGTGGGGCGGGTGCGGGGAGGCGCCTGCGGCGCGCCGCACCCTCCCGCGCAGAGCCGGGACAGAGAGGCTCAGCCCCATACGGGCGACACCGGGGGCCGGGAGGCCTGGAACGGCAAGAGGCGAAGCAGGAGGCGGATCACAGAAGCTGCCTCCAAAGAAGCCCTGCCCAGAGGAACGATTCAAGCACGGGAGCCTCCCATCATCCCATCATACCATCCTGTCGGCCCTTGCGAATCGACGCCAATCGACGCTAATTCGGCGCTAACCGACGCTATCTGATCGACTCCCAGACGCTAACCGACGCGAAGCGACGCTCAGAGACGGAACCGAAAGGGCGGGCCAGGCTCCCATGACTTGCTACCGAATCCGCTCTCCCCGCTGAGCCAGGCCGCATTGGCCCGGGCGGATGCGCTCGCGCCTGTTTCACCTTGTCCAGCTCAGCGCTCAGTGTAGCGCCAGCCTACACCCTGCGAAATGCTTAAGAAATCATGGGTTAAGAAATTCATAGTCTCAGAACTTGAATAAAAACCCAACATTTCTATGAAAATCTTAAGATTTACATTGAAACGTTAAGAATCATCGAGACTCTGGCCGAAAACTTAAGTTTTCTAAAGCATCGCCTAAGGTGTACCGGCGGAGGTCCCCAGGGCTCTCTCCAGAGGTCTCCGGAGGTGCCCCCAGGTCCTCCAGGAGGCGCGGCCTAGCAGCCTCTCCCCCGGCGGGAGAGGGAGGGTCTTGAGAACTTCGCCTACGCCATAGTCCACCGCTCGTCCAAGTACCACCCTCCTCCTCCTCCTCCTCCTCCTCCTCCTCCTCCTCCTCCTCCTCCTCCTCCTCCTCCTCCTCCTGCTCCTGCTCGTCACCCCCCCCCTCCCCGGCCGCGTCCTTGTCCCAACCAAGCTTGCCGCTCCTGTCTTTCAGGCCGACCTTTGCCAAGTATTCCGGGCTCTTCTCGTCGAACTTCTCGCCGTAGATCTGGTTGATTCC